TAACAAAATGTTTTATTTCAAGAATTATTGTATTTTTCATTTACTGTATCATTTAATGTTATATAGAGATGGAGGGTTATTTTTAACTGAACCCTAATAAATTTGATCCTGTTTAGTATTTTGGAATCACCCAAGGTGAACCAGGTACAATATACTGTAAATAATTTTAAAGTAAATGTATTTGTACATAATTACATAGATTTAAAGAACATCCAATTCTGGACCTTTTACATAACACACACAGAAAAATAAAAGAACAGATGACATGCATGCAGAAAAACCATTCTAAACAAAATACATGGATCATTGGGGAATATGTCAGGCTGCAGAATCCATATCCAAGAAGAAGCTATACTAATGCCGATCAAAAAAGCATGATCAATGTCACCTCTGTACTATGTTCTGGCCTGAAACCCAACAAGAATGGGTGAGATCATCTATTTTCTTCAGGATTCTCTGGAACTGTTGCATCATAACTTTTTCAACAATCTTCCCTAAAAAAGAAGGTTGGAGACTGGACAACAATTGTTCAGAATTATAGCTTCTTAAAGAGGGAACATGATACTGTGTCATTTCAGTGTCACAGGGACCACCCCATTTCTCAGAGAAACTAATGGATCCAATCACAAGTCACTCCCCAAGCAGTTTTAACCACCCAGGAAAGGCCTAGCTCAGGGGTTGGCAAACACTCAAAGAGCCACAAAGGTCCTAACCTGAAGCCCCCCGTTCAATTCTGGAGCCAACATGGAAGTTCAGTTCCCCCACTATAGAGTCTCCTCCTAGCATGGCGTCCTTTTTCTTCTGCCGACCAGAAGTCCGGTTCCCCCACCATAGAGTTTCCTTCTAGCACAGCGTCCTTTTTCCTCTACCTATCCTAACCGAAAGCCCTATCAATTGTGGAGCTGACCGGCGACAAGCAGCCACAGCAGAGGGATGAAAGAGCCATATGCGGCTCCAGAGCTGCGGGTTGCCGACCCCTGACCTACCTCTAGTTTCCCAACTAGAAATGTCAAAGACCTGCCCAGTTGATCAGCATAAAAATTAAAAATACCAGCATGTATAAATATTCCTTATTCTACTTGAACTAAATTATATAGCTCTTTACAAGTGATATTTTATTAATTAGTTTTGCCAGTTTTAATAGTCATCCAGAACATACATAGAATGAATAGTTTTTATAATTGCTTCCTGTTATCTATGTTATCTTTCTCTTTTCCAATAGACAATTAGATTCATTACGTTGGATTAGCAACTGGATTACAATAATATACATAACAGAAGTACTCTTCACTTTCGCCATATTTGAGAAAGCTTGTTTTCAGGAAGGCTGAAATTGATATTTAAAAAATTCATAGGTTTAAATTTAGTTTAACTGTACAGAAAATAAACCAATTATAAAACTTGTACAAAATTCAGTTCTAATCTTATTTTCTTTATATTCCGGTAGATGCTAAGACAAAGTTTGTATGGGGAATATGTCTGATCTGGGGATGTGGTGGTGCAGCGGCTTAATGATGCTGAAACTGCTGGCTAGAAATGGTCTGCACTCCAGTGGTTCGAGACCAGCTCCACAAGTCAGGGTAAGCTCCCGTTGCTCATACCCTAGCTCCTGCCCACCTAACAGTTTGAAAGCAAGCAATACTGCAAGTATTAAATGGCCAGGGTGCTATTTTGGTGGGGAAAACCTTGTTGCGTTTATATGTGTGCAGAAAGCAGAAGCTGGCACTGGACCTGGACGGACACAAAGCAACGTAACACGAGGAGAGTCAAGACTGATGGAGGAGCCTGGAAGAGCCAGCAATCTGAGCTCTGCTAATCATCTGATGTAAACTAGTTTGCTCCCTTTGGTGCACCAAGGATAGGCATCCAAGCGCTGAACAGAATGAACTAGCAATGAAGCCTGTCAGGACTGCATTGTGTCTAGCATTTGTAGATTTCCCTGACATTGTATGCCATACACTGAATAAATAAATGTCTGACTTTTCTGCTATTACTTTGCAGACATGAAGCATCCTACAATTTGATGTACCTTTAGCGCTCAGATCATCTATTTAAAATGCATTTAAATAAACTGCCACACAAGAGATAACTACTAGTTAGCAGGCAGCAGATCTATTATGATTGTAAAAAAGTAGACTATGACTGAAAATGGCCTGTATTATCAATCAGAGTGATCTCATTTAAATTAAATTACTGTTTCTAAGTCTACATATCTACAGATTCCCATATCATTTAAAAATAAAATTTATAATTTCAGAAGACAATTTTAAACATTTGTCAAAATATACATCGTACCTGATCTCTTAATAAGAATAGCAAATGCATTTCTTACTGAGTTAACGATTTATTAGTCAACTGAAATCACAACTGGCTTCAAAACCATTATATTTACTCAATATATATTTATCTTCTACTTTTAACTGTTTGATTTTTTAATGGGCATTACCATCTTTGACAATTATTGCAAGTGAATGTGGTCAGAAGTTTCATTTTGTACAGTATGTGGATAGGTTAATAATATATTTGGCTATTAATTAAATAAGAATTCCCTTATGTCGCACTGTAATTAATTTAATTTATTAGGTTACTTAATAGAAAGTATTTAGATCTGAGAAGGACCAGTTTGTTTCATTACTATTTGAACAGCATAAAATGAAAATAAAGCCTTAATTTGGGGGTGTTTATCTGAAACCCTGTATAATGCAAAGCAGAAATCAAAATTTCATATAAATATATCCCAAGATCATTGCATAATACATTTTGTTTATGCTACCAGTTGGAATGGCATGAAAACCAGTTTGGTCTAGTGGTTTAGGCACCAGCCTATAAAGTGGAAAAGCATGAATTCAAGTCCCACCTTAGCCATGAAAGCTAGCTAGGTGACTTTGGGACAATCACCCTCTTAGCTCAACCCAATTCACAGGACTGTTGTAGGAAAATAGGAGGATGTGTTAATATGTTTGCCGCCTTATTTGTAAAAATAATGAAGGTGGGATACAAATAAATAGCAATAACACTTATACATTGCTTCACAGTGCTTTACAGTAAGCCCCTTCTAAGTGGTTTACAGAGTCAGCATATTGTCCCTAACAATCTGGATCATTTTACTGACCTCAGAAGGATGGAAAGCTGAGTCAACCTTGAGCTGGTGAGACTTGAACTGCCAAACTGCTGGATGTATATATCTTTCGTATATTGCTATTGCTATAGCTTCAAGGAAGTATGTATAGTATTGTCTGTTTTTCTCTTCCAATAATACCACTGAGTAAATTAGGCTGAGAAATAGTGAGCGAACCAGAATTACCCAGTGAGTTTTCATGGATGAGTTTGACCCTAAACAGATCCATAACACTGATTTTAAAGTTCATTTTAAATCTCATTACTGGGATGAAAAAAAATCCATTTGCTCTTGCATAATAATCTTTCTCTGTAATAATATCAATTATAAAGTTCACATGTGATTTGTAATATCTTGCTCTTTTTATATATTCCCTTAATGGCTAGGATGATATATCAAACTGAAGAATTATTTGTTTAACAATGGTTTGATTGCTTTGGTTATAAGAAAGCTCCATTGGTCGTATCATTCTATCCATGGATTTAAATTTAGATTTATTTATTTTTTGTAGGAAATACTTTGCAGAAAGCTACATATAAAACTGCTCAGCGGTGACAGCAAAAGAACACTGAGCTTCAAATTCTTACTAAACAATTTTGTTCTTTTTGTAGGTCAGACAGTAAGTGGTTTCTCAACATGTATTTTGGTATCCTAAAGACAGTTCTCTAAAATGAATACAGTACTTAAATCTAGCCTTTTCCAGATTGTTTACAGAACAATTATTATCTAGATTCCATTGATTTCTAGTAAGGCCATTTGATCTAATGGCTTTAGCTACTCATTGTTTCTTAAAATAACTAATGAGAAAGAAAACATCAGCAGTTGAGTATGTTGATATACTGCTTCCAGCAGTAAACTTCGGAACCATACTATGAAAAAATCCCTTTGCTTAAATTTGTCTTAAATCTGTGTCAACCTTCATACCAAAATTTTTATATTTAAAAATTCCACTGCTCAAAATTATTGGTTTCAAATAATTTCATTTTCCCCAACAACTCAATTTTTTAAATCAGTTACAATTTCAGTAACCAATCACCTATTGTAATTTATAGATCTTTCTCTATGAATTTAAAACATTTTAAAAAATGATTACTGCAATTACTATTGCCGTACTTTGTGATAATAAATTCCACAGATTAACTGTGCACATCACTAAAAGAAGGATCACTAAAAGAAGGATCACTTCTTTTTATTCTTTGTCTCCCACTGTTGAGTTTCACTGGATATCTCAGTGTTTGAAGCAATACAACAGGCAGGGGCTATTTCCAAATAAGTTTACAGTAGTGGATGAATAAAAATAGTGTGAAAACCAATATTTTTGATTCCTTATTTGCTCTGAAGGTTTGGGGAATATATTCTGGAATATCGTGGAAGGCCATTTGGGATGTTATAAAAAATAACGACAACAGTAACCTAGCTCTCCTAACAAAGCTAATACTAATTCCTTTGCACAGCACCATAACCCATCTATCCCCACCTCCGTTAACGTAGTAATTTTATTTATATGTATTTTTCTTTTAAGAGCTCAAGACCTTACTTCTCTCCCCCACCTCTCGATTATCTTTATCTTGCGCTTTACAAATCTCCTCCTAAGAAGCAACGTGCAGAAAGTAAAGGGCTAGCCTAAAATCACCCAGCGAGAACAAGTCGGGTCTCTTCATCCCTAAACCAACACGAGAGCCGTTGTGTCGCTCTCATCGCAGCCATCGCGTCATCTATATATCGCCGTTCAGCGCGAGGCCAGACTTTCTCCCCCTCTTCCCGTCCTGTCCCGAGGCCCGCTTCCCCTTCCAACCCAAGCTTGCCCTTCCTTCTGTAAAGACAGACCAAGAACTGCGGTTGCGCGCCAGCCGGGGAGACGCGCATTGAGGCGCAGTGCGCCTGCGCAGTTCTTTCTCTCTCTTCATTTTTTTTTTCCTACCCATGCTGTTGTTGCTGCTGGCGGAGCCTGAACATCACCTGCGCGGTGTCCCCCTGTAAGGTACGTTCCGGTTGCGTCTGTGAGAGTCGCTGTGGGGTGTGGGAGACGCTTCTTCCGTTTCTTCAAGGCTGACCCGTCCGTCCTTCCTCGTCCTGCCTGCCTTGTGTTTGAACTCATTCGGGGAAGACAAGAGGTAAAAAAAACATCTCGCCATGGAGGACCTCCGCGGTATATAAGCTCTCCCCAGTCGAGCCCTTAATCCGTTAATAATCAGGGCGGCCATCTGGAAGACCCCTCGCTGGGGGAGGCCACTGCCGTCCCTTCGCGTGGCCTGGATGTCCTGTTCCCCCCCCCCCCAGCCCTGTTAGGTCCTCCAAGGCCCCCTCGGAAGGAAATGCTTAATATCTTACAGGTACATGTTCCTCTGGAGTCCTTGGGGCTCTCTGAGCTTGTGTGTTTGCAGATGTTTCGTTACCCTATCAGATAAAGGCCGTCCTTTCTGTCGGTTACATGCTTCTCTGCCCTTCGGTGTGATGGAGCTCCTTCGAGCAGGGGGTGGGGATTCAATGCAGAAGGAAAGGGGGAAAGGACGCCGAGCGATTGCCCATCTCTGGCCGTTGAATGAAGCCCGGGGCAAACGCCACTGTCGCCGCTCTCTCTTTGCAAAAGATGTGGAAGGAAAAGAGTTGCTTTTAGTAACAGAATAGAATATTGGGTAAATTGAGCAGCCTAATTTGATAGCATGCCTATCAAATCACAAACAACCTAGAGTCGCCTAGAACAGCTAAGAGGAGTTAATAGTCATTATAGTTTCTTGTCACTAATAAAGCCCACGAAAAGAAGGAGTATGAGTTCTTCAGATGGAGAAAAATTGAGACCCTCTTCTGCCGCTTCACCTTGTGCATATAAAGGGAGTCCAATTGAAGACTGTTTTGGAAAAGCATCGGGATTTTAACATTGAGAGAGAAAAATGGAAACTCACATCAAAAGGTTTCAGATAGTCTCAGAAGGTCTCAATAAGCTATAGGGTTTTTTCTTTGACGCGGTACAATTCTTAATGGATAGATTTGTAATCTTGCTCACGACCTACCTGAATCCTGTCTTCCTTTGCTCAACACTCCCCCCCCCCCGCCTCCCCAAAGAGTCCAGCCACACCGCATTTGATGAAGTGTGCTGCAGTTTCCAAAAGCTAGTGCTTTTTAATAAAATGTGTTAGTGGGGGGGGGGAGAAGTGCTATCTTCTGATTTTGATTTTTTGCCACCATAAATTAACGCCACTCTCCTCTTGCAATGGAGGCAATGATTGAAGGTAGTAAATCTTTTCAAGGCTGTAATTTTAACAAGCATCATACAAAGTCCTAAAACTGGTGGGATATTTGTGTAAATTTGTATTAGGGTAGATTTCAAATTCTCCTATTATGCTATTCTTGTAACAAAACATTGTGCTAAAGATCTTCCACCCTTCATCTTTTCTAATGTTTATGTTGCATGCTTTTGTTGAGAGGAAAGAAATGTAGCTAAAGCTACTAACAAAAATAAGAATTATTGTGTTTGCAGGCAATGGTGGGGGAGTTAATGAATAGCCACATTAGACTCTTCTCTTGGGAGTCAATTCTTAGTCTCAAGTGATTTACAGCTCAAATATAGTTGAATCGCTTATTTGACCTGGATTTACCTGGTTTGTTTCAGACCTATTGTTTGTGATTGGAAGCTCTGTTACACTTAATATTTTACAATAGGGTTGTAATCTCAATCATCCCTCTTTGCTTCCCCACCCCACCCCCATAATGGGATTTGCCTTCTTTTTTATATATATGTTAGTATCTTTTTTTCTTATGTGTTTTAATAAAGGGACGGATATTCTTTTTTTTTTTCTTTTTTTTTTTTTTTTTTTTTTTTTT